CAGTGATTCTGACTAATTCACGTTCCTGTGAGCCAGACCATAAAGACTTTCAGCCGTGTCGAGAACGCAACCTGAAACTCAGAAACTGAAATTGAAAACAAAAACGCGTAAAAAAGATACAAGATAGTTGTGGAGAATTTAGCCGGAAGACTTTACAAAAAAGAAAAAAAAAATGTGTAGAATTTTGCGCGGATGATGAAATAACACAACAAAAATTTATGAATAAAATAAATAATAAATAAATAAATAAATAAACTTTTAATAATGATCAAAAATGAATATAAAAAAATAAGGAAATAGAGAAAACACTTCAACCTCCCCCCCCCCAAAAAAAAAAAATAAAAAAAATTAAACCGGGGGAAGAAATAACGACAAAATAAAAACAATTTAGCGCGGGGAAACAGACTAAAAAAAAATAGTGAAGACCCTGGATAGATAAAACTTCCAAAAAAATATAACTTAAGACCAAACTTCACTTGGGAAACGTGCCCTTACGGTACCAACACACACACACCGTAACACTTATAGAAACGAAGACATTACCTTGGTATTTGGGGAGAGGGAGGAGGAGGAGGGAGGAGGAGGAGGGAGGAGGGGGAGAGGGGAGGAGAGGAGAGGGAGGAGGAGGAGGAGAGGAGGGAGGAGGGAGGGGAGGGAGGGGAGGGGAGGGGAGGAGAGGAGGAGGGGAAGGGAGGAGGGAGAGGAGGACACCTTATAGACTTCACACAGATTAAACTTAAGAGTGACCAAACTTCATTTAGGAAACGTGCCCTTACGGTACCAACACACACACCAACTTAACACTTATAGACGATTTCCTTGGTATTTGAATGGGGGGGGGGAGACACCCTTGTAGGCTTATATACATTCACACAGGGTTTCTCCCCTTGCGCCCCCCCCCCCCCCCCACCCCGCCACCCGTTCTGTGTTCTTGCCAAATATCTATATCCTCTAAAAGACATTCTTAGCATACGTCGTAGTTTCGTGTGTGGGTGTTTTGTTTGTTGTTTATGTTTGTGTGTGTGTGTGTGTGTGTGTGTGTGTGTGTGTGTGTGTGTGTGTGTGTGTGTGTGTGTGTGTGTGTGTGTGTGTGTGTGTGTGTGTGTGTGTGTGTGTGTGTGTGATAATATTCCCAAATAACCCTACACCTCAGCTGAACAACATAAACAACATACTGAAATCAAGAAACCATGTTTATTTATGCTCTTACTTATTACGATGTGCATGTTAAGTACATGTGTCCGAGACTCAACCTCCGCCACCTCTGAGAGAGAGAGAGAGAGAGAGAGAGAGCGAGAGAGAGAGAGAGAGAGAGAGAGAGAGGAGAGAGAGAGAGAGAGAGAGAGAGAGAGAGAGAGAGAGAGAGAGAGAGAGAGAGAGAGAGAGAGAGAGAGAGAGAGAGAAGAGAGAGAGAGAGAGAGAGAGAGAGAGAGAGAGAGAGAGAGAGAGAGAGAGAGAGAGAGAGAGAGAGAGAGAGAGAGAGAGAGAGAGAGAGAGAGAGTCGTGGGCAGTGCTATTTTTTCTTCACTTACTTTCTCTTCAATCTTCTTTTTTAACTTTTATTTCCCCCGTATGGCATTTCAGTTCAATTCTCAATCTTAACCTTACTTATTATTTCGTTCTTTTTATTCCTTCCTTTCTCCTCATCCTTAAGTTCCCATTATCATCACATACTTCCAAATGCTATGCATGGACCATAATCTTTTAGGACAATACTTTCTCTCTCTCTCTCTATCTATCTATCTCTTTCTCTCTCTCTCTAAATCTATGAAAATAAAAGCTTACTGCACATATGTGTGCCATATGTTCGGCATATGTCTGCCTGTTTTCCTTTCTCTCTCTCTCTCACTATTTTTTATACATCCTCAGATCTTTACTCATATCCGCCTTGTCTTTATTTTCCTCGTCATTACTTCTTTCATTTCAAAAGGAAATTAGTCGATAAGAAATAGGAATCGAAATGATCGCTTCTGGACGACCTGCATCGTGACCGCGTCTAAAAATAAATACTGACAACCGCGTTTATTGGCCGGTTTGTTAAAATTGCGCGAAGCCCGACCCAAAGCATATTCATTATACATACGTGCATTTATACAATATTAATACATATCTATCAATATAGACATACATATTTACCGGATAGATAGGTAGATGAGTGTATATCTATCAGACGAATAGACACATATGCATTTATTTCTGTATATATGCATGTCCGTATAAATGAATATGCATTGGGTCGTGCCTCGCACAATTTTAACAAACTGGCCGTATATATCACTAAAAGTTTCGTAGAGAAAGTGAATTTCTTGACCTGGCAACAGTGCATCCCAAGCGCTCATAAAATTTGCATAGGAATTTCTTTGAACAAGACATAAAGGTATTTTTTACCATCCCCGAGACCTCCAAAGTTACTCCAAGAAATGAAAGACAAAGAAAGAAGGGAAAAAAACTGTTACCAATTCTGGGAATAAACTAGAATTGCGCGGGAAATATTCGAGCA